GAAAAAATAATTGAAAAAATCTGTTGCATATAATAGCAACAAACACTATACTAAATATGTTTCCGATTGCATTGATAAATTTAATTTTCATAGATTTTGATTTATTTTCATTTTGATTTAATTATTTCGTGTGACATTGTGTTGAAAATGAGCAGTTTTGTTTACCATACCGTTCATTGCATGAGTACAGTTTATTTTTTTTTACTGTTTTTCATTTCGTTTTTTTAACTGTTCTTCCTATTTTTCAGTGATGTGAATATTAGATCATTCGATGTTCCCATTTTTCTGATGGGAGCATCAGATCATTTGGCAGTCTCATTGGTAGAGGGAGTGGGGGATGGTGGGGAGGACGAGGAGATGGGGGAGGAGGGTAATGATGGGGAGGACGAGGGGATGGGGGAGTGGGTAATGGTTGGGAGCATGAGGAGACAATGGAGGGGGAAAATAATGGGGACGTGAGGACAGGGGGAAGGTTGCTGTGGATCAGCAACGCGCGCATGCATTGCTAAGCCACAGTAACGCGTGGCCGGGTACAGCTATTATTTATATATATATGTCAACGAACTAGCAGCATGAGTCTTTTATACAGCATAATCATTTGTTTTTCAATTAAAATTAATTATATTTTATATTTTGGAGGTTTGTGACTAGTTCGGTCCAGATGAGGTGTTTTTTACCGTTGATTTAAGAGGTGTTAACAGTATAGAATAGCGTGAATGAAGCATGTCTCGAATTATAGCTTCAAAACTAGTAGAATTTTCTGAAGTTCCTTGGAGATTACCCCTAAGATTTGATTTTTCACTAATTTAAATCAGCTAAAAACTCTAAATTCAGTCATGTATCTGGTAAGTACAGCAATTGCTGTACTTAGACTAACAATTACACTAACTTTCACTTACACTAACAATTACCCGATTCACTAACAATTATTCACCTTTTGTTAATATAGCTAGAGTACTCCAAGTTCCCTCTCAATATAGATTTTACCTTCTATTAATATTAGGAGGAACGAGGCACCGAAGCCCATAATACTGGGGCTGGAAATGAAAGGAAAGAAAAACAAGATCTGAGACTGAATAAAGAAGGATGAAAACGTTAACAAATGGGGGAGAGATGAAGTAATGGTAATAAAGAGGACGCCTGGAGGCTGAGTGAGCATCATGCTGGCACAGTCATCTCTCTCCCCCCATCCTCATCTTGGGTATCATAATGGCACAAGATGGACGGCTCTGCCAGCCTCAGAGTCATCAAAGATGCAGCTAAAGATGATTAAAAGCGCAAACGAGGGAATTGAGGCACCAATCGTCTAATGGAATATCCTGATGCGATGGTTAGCAAACAGGCGCTGTAGACAACGGAATATATACATTGTGTATTGACGAAATAAACCTATTTTAGGAAACACAGATACTCTTAGCAAGCAGCTTACTCGAGAGCCTTAAATATTTTGTGAAACATAGGCTGCCAGGAGCCGGATGTTCCACGTATTAATATATTTGGGAAAGGGTTCAGCTTGTGGCAGTTAGCATAAGAATGGGATTTAAATATTTTAAGTTAAGAGATCTGTTGATAGTCAGCTTTTACATGTCACGAGAGAAATAGATATGAGGTAATATATATATGGTGTATATGTAGCTGTGATAATATATATATATGTGTGTGTACTCACCTAGTTGTGTTTGCGGGGGTTGAGCTCTGGCTCTTTGGTCCCGCCTCTCAACCGTCAATCAACAGGTGTACAGATTCCTGAGCTGTGTGTGTGTGTGTGTGTGTGTGTGTGTGTGTGTGTGTGTGTGTGTGTATTATTCTGAAATAAATGGGGCCGAGCTGAGCTTTCAGAAGCTAGCCCATATTTCCTTATTCAGTATTCTCTCTACCACCAGCGGTGGTGGTGCCACAGCGTCTCTGTGGCACCTCTACCACCGTAGTGCATAATTGGAATCGTGCAATTGGCTGGAGAGACAAGCGTCGTGAACCTGTAACACCACCATCGACCTCTCAGGCCAGAAACCCCTTGAAGCCCACTTACCACCTGTTGATCAGGTCCTCCAAGCCAAGATATCATCTTGTGGGTTTTTTCTCATCAGGAATTTATTTGATTTATGTATTAAATGATATATTTTCAACATTTACTGTAATTTATTATGCGTAACACGATGGACTGTATTTACGAAGTGGACTGTATTTAAATTGGTTATCCTGCAGAGATATCCACTCATGTTATCACTCCACAACTTTGGGCGGGTTATATATATATATATATATATATATATATATATATATATATTATATATATATATATATATATATATATATATATATATATATATATACGTAGCCTATCTATCAATCAATCAATCAATAGGTTACTAGGAAGTTATTAAGGGTTAGTCTACTGCTAAATGTGTCATTAAAAATAAAAGAAACAGCTAAGCTGTTAAAGATGATTTGTAGATTTTCCAGTCATATACTCGTCCTGAACATGTGAGTAATGAGCAGAAAAATGACTTGTTGCATCTATCTCTTTCCCCTCAATTTCGCCGGCGAAATAAGTACATCGTAACACAAGCAAACTAATTTGAGGGCCATATACATGGAAGGGGAAGTAATGTAATAATTCTCACCCGTTTTGGGTGGGTGGCCTGCGTCTTAACCTACTGACCTACAGCACAGGTGATCACTATAACTTATGTGTCAGTAGGAACCAGAACTCTTCCTTATGGCTAGCGAAGGTTTGGGGAGACGATAGAGTCTAGCAGCTCATGTCTTCGCAGGAAGGTTCAGAGTCAAGCGTGTGTCTACCTTCAGAGTCAACCTTCCTTCCTCCCTCCCGGGAGAGACGCTCCTCTCTCCTCGGTTCCAAGTTTGTCATAATCGACTTAGGGAAAGTTCATAATTGTTGAACATTTAATTAAGTTCAACTCTAAAGAGTACTTTTTATTCGATTTAACCTTTGAAATGAAGGTTTAAGGTTATCACAAGAGTAATATTATGTATAAATGGCGTTTGTGCACACGTGGCAAAACCCAGTTTGCTATAAGACAATTCTTTGTGATAGATTATTATATTAGTAAGGTTAGTACATAACTGACATACCCGTTTTTAGTTGGTTTGCCAGCTGTTCGTAAATTATTTGTCGAAATTTCCGACATATTTCCCTTTCACAATGTTTAAGGAATAAGGGGGAGTGGGAGATGTAATAGTAGGTATAAGGGTAAACTGATGCATAAATAATTGGCTAGAAATTTTGAGAAAATTGTTTCCTTTTTTTTCTGTGCATTTCTATTGGAGGACCGATGAGACCCCTTCGAGATATGCTTTGAAAATCATCATATTTTTGAAAATCATCACTATGCTTTTCCAGTAAGGAAAATAGTGCTTACTGTGGAGCCCATGTTTTCCCCCACCTTCAGCCTGGCATGGTGCATATTGACAAGCCCACGCCACCCCGTCCCGTATTCTTCTAGGTCTTGTATCATCCACCATCCGTCCACGCCGTGCCCAACCACTTGAGCTGGACGATAGAGCGACGGTCTCACTTCATGCAGGTCGGCGTTCAATCCCATACCGTCCAAGTGGTTGGGAACCATTCCTTCCCCAAGACCCATCCCAAATCCTTATCCTGATCTCTTCCCAGTGCTAAATAGTCGTAAAGGCATTGCGCTTTCTCCTCATAATTCCACCCCCCCCCTCTTTCCCCACTTTTTTCCTCATTTTCTACACCTCAACCCACCCATTTAATTTCTCTTACCCCCAGCTACCTACCCTTCCCCATTCCCCTGAATGTCTACCCTTCCCCATTTCTCCACTACCAACCCCTTCTCCATTCCTTTCCCGTCACACCCATCACCAACCCATCCCCCAGACCAGCAACCCCTCCTCCTCCCCCACCACCAAACCTACTCGCCATTCCCCCATCCAATGGCCTCATATTTTACGTGGGAGTTTTCCTGCCGATGACTGTCCTGCTCCTGCTTTTCATCAGCTGCTGAGAGCCGGGATTCCTTGGTAGGAAAAAATCCAGTTTCCTCACACAGGAGGAGGAGACACGCTGGTAATATCCCTGATTAACAGCACACTGACGTCTCTCTCTGCACTACGGACTCTAAGGTGGGTGTGTAATGTATTTCTCGTGACATTCTTACTCTTAAAGGTTCTTTGCAGGTCATGGTATTCTTGAATACTTCGTATGTGAAGCATTGGATTCTTTAAGCTCTTCCCCATCTCACCTTTCCCACTTTCTTCCTCAACCTCTTTCTTCCCCATCAATTTCTTCCCCATTTTTTCTTTTTCAATTTCAATTTCTTCTTTTGCTTCCCCACCTCCTCCGCCTCTCATGTTATCTAAAGCCTTTCTTCATTTGCTCTCTTCTCGCACTAGAAGACAACCTTCCCCCCCCCTGTTCTCGCCGCCCCATCTACCCACCCCATCCTCTCCAGCCCATCCCCATCTTCACATCCTTTGCCCGACCACTTGGACTGGACGGTAGAGCGATGGCCTCGCTTCATGCAGGTCGGCGTTCAATCCCCGACCGTCCAGGTGGTTGCCTTCCCCTCGTCCCATCCCAAATCATTATCCTGATCCCATCCAGGTGCTACATAGTCGTAATGGCTTGGCGTTTTCTCCTCATAGTCCCTCCTTTTCCATCCTTTCCATATCTTCCCCCCCTGTCTTCCTTGTATCAGTCGCCAGGATTCGAGTGTACATAATCACAAGGTCAAGGGCTATACTATTAGCATTGATGGTGATAGCGGGGATCGCGAGGGCCTGAAAGGTCAAAAGGGTTCAGAAAGGTCGCGACCCGCCAAACACACACCGAAACTACGACGTTGGTACAACGTTCGAACAAGTTTTAACACCTCCTAACCAGTTATAACAACCAATATAGCAAGTTGTAACAACGTTCTAATACGTCATAAACACGTTAAGCCAAGATGTAACAACTTTATTACAAGTTGTAACATGCGTAAAATAGAGACAGTTACGGATTGTGTTTCCAGGGGAGGGTCAGAAAGGTCGTGAGGGTCAGAAAGGTCGCGAGGGGTCAGATAGGGTCAGAAAGGTCGCGAGGGGTCAGAAGGGTCAGATAAGGTCAGAAAGGTCGCGAGGGTCAGAAAGGTCGCGAGGGGTCACAAAGATCGCGAGGGGTCACAAAGATCGCGAGGGTCAAAAAGGTCGCGAGGGTCAGAAAGGTCGCGAGGGGTCACAAAGATCGCGAGGGTCAGAAAGGTCGCGAGGGGTCAGACAGGTCGCGAGGGTCAGAAAGGTCGCGAGGGGTCAGACAGGTCGCGAAGGGTCAGTAAGGTCGTAAGGGGTCAGAAAGGTCACGAGGAGTCAGAAAGGTCACGAGGGGTCAGAAATGTCGCGACGGCCAGAAAGGTCTAGGGGCGCGTGAGGGTCGGAGATCGGGAAGAGGGGGGGTCGAGCGAGTGAGTGACGCGAGTAGCAGACAGCGAGGCTGGCCTCACCCAAGCAGTACAGGTAGTAAACAGGTCAAGAGTTGTTGGGGTAACTTGGGACATAATCGCGAAATGAAATTGGTCATAACGACCAAGACTCAGCAGTCAGATTAATGTTGACGAACCAAATTAGTTGGATGCTGTGGTTGAACGATGGAATTCACGAGTCATTAGGAGGACTGTACTCACTACCGAAGCACTGAATGATTCAGTGGCAATGATTGATAGTTACTAACATTAATGGCTTTTCTTTTCAAATGAGTTTGACTGGTGGGATGGATGTGATGTACTCACTAATTGTACTCACCTAATTGTGCTTGCGGGGGTTGAGCTCTGGCTCTTTGGTCCCGCCTCTCAACCGTCAATCAACTGGTGTACAGATTCCTGAGCCTATTGGGCTCTATCATATCTACATTTGAAACTGTGAATGGAGTCAGCCTCCACCACATCACTTCCTAATGCATTCCATTTGCTAACTACTCTGACACTGAAAAAGTTCTTTCTAACGTCTCTGTGGCTCATTTGGGTACTCAGCTTCCACCTGTGTCCCCTTGTTCGCGTCCCACCAGTGTTGAAAAGTTCGTCCTTGTTTACCCGGTCGATTCCCCTGAGGATTTTGTAGGTTGTGATCATGTCCCCCCTTACTCTTCTGTCTTCCAGTGTCGTGAGGTGCATTTCCCGCAGCCTTTCCTCATAACTCATGCCTCTAGTTCTGGGACTAGTCTAGTAGCATACCTTTGTGTGTGTGTGTGTGTGTGTGTGTGTTTACTAGTTGTGTTTTTTGCGGGGGTTGAGCTTTGCTCTTTCGGCCCGCCTCTCAACTGTCAATCAACTGTTTACTAACTACTTTTTTTTTTCCACACCACACACACACACACACACCAGGAAGCAGCCCGTGACAGCTGACTAACTCCCAGGTACCTATTTACTGCTAGGTAACAGGGGCACTTAGGGTGAAAGAAACTTTGCCCATTTGTTTCTGCCTCGTGCGGGAATCGAACCCGCGCTACAGAATTACGAGTCCTGCGCGCTATCCACCAGGCTACGAGGCCCCATCCACCAGGCTACGAGCCTACGAGGCTACGTGTGTGTGTATGTGTGTGTGTGTGTGTGTGTGTGTGTGTGTGTGTGTGTGTGTGTGTGTGTGTGTGTGTGTGTGTGTGTGTGTGTGTGTGTGTGTGTGTGTGTGTGTGTGTGTGTGTGTGTGTGTGTGTGTGTGTGTGTGTGTGTGTGTGTGTGTGTGTGTGTGTGTGTGTGTGTGTGTGTGTGTGTGTGTGTGTGTGTGTGTGTGTGTGTGTGTGTGTGTGTGTGTGTGTGTGTGTGTGGTGTGTGTGTGTTGTGTGTGTGTGTGGTGTGTGTGTGTGTGTGTGTGTGTGTGTGTGTGTGTGTGTGTCTTTAATAATAATAATAATAATAATAATAATAATATACTCATGTATTATTTTAAATTCATGTGTATACACTATGCCCAAATACCCTTTACATGATCAAACAACAAGTTATCTTAACCTGTTTATATATGGCAACACCATAGAACTCACGCACGAACAGACAACGAATACCTGCTTGTATATGTTACCTGCTTAATTGTACCTGTTACCTGCTTGTAACAGGTACAATGTGTTTACGTGGTTTACACAGGTTTACGTGTTCCTACCTGCCTGGACCCGATGGTGTGCTTGCCTGTTTCTACCTTCCTGACTCGACCAGTGAGATGCGTATTCTAAATCTTGGGTACCTGGGACCTTTGTTCCCAAAAGCTTGTTTTTACCTGCTCTTGAAGCTGATTAAGGAGGTGGCTTTAATATCTCCGTTCCCCGTTCGTTCAACTTGCTTCCCGCCAAACACACACCGAAACTACGACGTTGGTACAACGTTCGAACAAGTTTTAACACCTCCTAACCAGTTATAACAACCAATATACCATGTTGTAACAACGTTCTAATACGTCATAAACACGTTAAGCCAAGATGTAACAACTTTATTACAAGTTGTAACAAGCGGAAAATAGAGACAGTTACGGTTTGTGTTTCCAGGGTTACCAATCTCATTACATGTGAATAGTTTCGTGCACACAGATTAGGAGGAGCATAAGTCTATGGACTCTCACAATGACTGTTTTCTCTCAACTAAGTATACTCCTTTGCCGAATCATGGCTACATCCCCAGTTATTCAAGCATCATATATAAAAAATACTCATGGGGGAACTATATGAAATGGTTTTTGGCAGCTTATAAAGTCTTTTAGAGAAAATAAGTTTCAGTGGCAGCGATCTGTTTCTTGTCATTTTTTTTCCTGACTGTTGATAATTCGCAATTATGGATTCCTGTCTAAGGCTTGTCGTCGGTAATATCAACATGAGTCAGCTGGTGAAGCCTCATCTGCGTCTGTCTGTCAGTAATCACTTAGTCTACATAGTTGTGCTTGGGTGGAGGGGAGCGTCAGCTCTTTGGTCCCGCCTCTCAACCGTCAGACTATTGGTGTACAGATTCCTGAGCCTATTGGGCTCATTATCATATCTACATTTGAAACTGTGTATAGAGTCAGCCTCCACCACTTCACTGCCTAACGCATTCCCTCTGTTAACTACTCTGACACAAACAATTCTTTCTAATGTCTCTGTGGTTCATTTGGGTACTCAGTTTCCACCTGTGTCCCTTTGTTCGTGTTCCCCAAATGCTAAATAGTTGGTCCTCATCAACCCTGTCAATTCGTTTGCGGTTGTCCGTCGGTGTGACATGTGCGATTAGGCCTGCTTCTGTCCGTCCGTCCGTCCGTCCGTCCGTCCGTCCGTCCGTCTGTACCTTAATCATTAACGCAATTAGCAAGAATTCCCAAGGGGATTAAATTTAATTTTTTTCCTGCGTTATACAGGGTACGTGATTAAAATTAGTGACTATTTTTCCCAAAGAGATTTTTCGTCACAAAATTTTTTTTCTCGTGTTTCTTTTTACCTCATTATATGTAAACATTGTTAATGTTTATATTATTATTATTATTTGTGTTCTGGTAACAAGCAGCTTGAACTCTGTGAATAACTTAATTCTAATTCTGATTCGGAATTATTCTACGTTCTGTAAGTTATAAATAGATTGGTGTATGTAACTGATTTAATGTAAGTGTTTAAAGAGACGCTCAAATTCACCAATATTCATTTTTTTGTACAAAAAATTACGTGTAATTTATAGAACGTGTTAATAATTTGTTCGAATCGACAGAAAAAGATCCATTGACCAGACGACCGAACGACTGAACGAACGGACAAACAACCGAACGAATGACAGGAGAAACGAACGATCGAATATAAATGTATGAAAGAATATAACAGAGGAAATATAAATAACATTTTAAATATATCAACACAAAATGAACTCCAAATCAATGAATACAAATTGGAAACAAATTTGGATTCAGGAAAGACCTGGGTAAATGCTGGTTTGGAAACAAGGTTGTTGATTTATGGAACAAATTACCGGGTAAGATAATTGACGTGGGATCGCTGAATTGTTTCAAACGCAGGTTAGACACAAATAAATGAGTTTGTGTGGAAATAAATAACAGCTGCCTCGTATGGGCCAATAGGTCTTTTTTGCCTTTTTTATTCTTATTTTCTTAGGCAGAGAGGGTGGACTAAGTTATTATGAGGCGGAGGGAAGGGGCTCAGAGACAGGGGGTTCGGGCTCAGAGACAGGGGGGAAGGGCTCAGAGACAGGGGGGAAGGGCTCAGAGACAGGGGGTTCGGGCTCAGAGACAGGGGGTTCGGGCTCAGAGACAGGGGGGGAAGGGCTCAGAGACAGGGGGTTCGGGCTCAGAGACAGGGGGTTCGGGCTCAGAGACAGGGGGGGAAGGGCTCAGAGACAGGGGGGAAGGGCTCAGAGACAGTGGGTTAGGGCTCAGAGACAGGGGGTTCGGGCTCAGAGACAGGGGGAAGGGCTCAGAGACAGGGGGAAGGGCTCAGAGACAGTGGGTTAGGGCTCAGAGACAGGGGGTTCGGGCTCAGAGACAGGGGGAAGGGCTCAGAGACAGGGGGGAAGGGCTCAGAGACAGTGGGTTAGGGCTCAGAGACAGGGGGTTAGGGCTCAACCCTCATCACTAGCAACACACTACTCAATCATCACACGTCATAGCAGCTGCGGTCATCAAGCAACATAACGTAGCTAAAGGAAACAGAGACAGCTTTAACGATGACTTACCGCTACTGATGCAGGTATTAGTAGGCCTCCAATACTACAAGGGCGATAGTACCTATTGCTACTATGGATGCTACGTACAAAATGGGGATGGTTGCACTTCAATAACCTAGGTTTGTACTATTTTGATTTTAATGAGCATAAAATCTGAAACATCTTAACCATAAAACGTATATGTTATAGAGCTAAATAAGAAATCCTAGGCCTAACATATGCAATTAATTGTAGACCTAATCTAAAAATTGTTCTATATAAGGCCTATGAAAACTGGGATTTGGTTGCTGCCTCCTGTACTTGGCCCTGTAGAAATTTAATTTTACAAAAGCTGGGAGTTAGTTCCTGGTCCGGTGATGTAAATGTTGCCCATTCGGTCTTCTGCCGCTACAGGCAAGCGCACGCTGCTATGTTGAGTGTTCCTAAAGGTTTGGTCCACAGATCATAATGTTTTATGTCAAATTCCGCCTCTTCCGTGCCCCCTTCCCACCTTCCCCTCACGTTCAATCCCCGACCGTGTCCTCTGTCCCATCCCAATCCTTATCCTGATCCCTACCAAGTGCTATATACTCTAATGGCTTGGCGCTCTCACTTAATAGTTTCCTTCCCTTCCCTTTCCCTTCTCCCTTTCTTCCACAAGTATTCCGCCTCTTCCACCCCCTCCACGTCTCCGTAACTCTCCCATTGTTTTATCTGAAGCTTCCTGTTAGTGTCTTCGTTAACCTCTTGCAGGTGAAATGTTTTCGCTTCTTGGTAATCGCTTCAACGTTTTATAGTAAAGTTGAAGGACTGGTCTTCCTTTTCCAATCATGTCAAGATCATTCTATATGATCTAGGAAATCTGTTAAAATAATTTTAAGATTTTAAGTGGAACCTTAATATTGTATAAACTTTGCTAGTTTTCCCGTTCAACGGCATTGATATATTCGTGTTGCAAAGGTTACATATTTCCTTAAACTAAATTTGGCTAAGTATGAGTATTTCACGTCAACTCTCCTCGACCTGCTGGTATTCATAGATAAAGTAAGGAAGTAAACATCTTTTGCAGCAGCAGGCAAGCAGGTGGGGGATTTACCCTCCTTGAGCCGACGGAGCGGGGAACACTGATCACCAGAGGTTATATTCTTGTGACCTCTGCTTATCAGAGGTCACAAGAATGTGACCTTTTCATTCTCAAAAACATCATTCTGGTATATTTTTGCGTACGTACATTTTATATAATAGTGAAGTAACGAATATTTTCCCTTAAAAACACAAGAAATTACCATCAACTTCATTCGAAATTCCTCCAGACCCCGAATTCTTTCAGGCAAATGAAAACATATCTACTTGCAAAAATGCTTATTTAAACACGCAATGTAAAAACAAAAGTTCATGTAAACAAACTTCCTTTAAAAATGTATAAGTAAACAGGGTTGGAACGTCTTTGCTCGAAGCAGAGCCAAGGCAAAAATAAACACCTTTGACGTCTTTTGGGGGGTCGTGTCTCCCTGCTTCGTTAGCAAGCTTCCTCCTGCATCAGGGTAATCACATTCTTCCCGCCCCGCCCCGACTCCTGGTCCTCACACTCTACATTTTTTCCATCGCTTCTGCTACTACAACATGCTGCTGGTGCTGCCCTGGTGCTGCTGTCTCGTACTGGGGCTGCTGCCTTGTGCTGGGGCTGCTGCCTCGTACTGGGGCTGCTGCCTTGTGCTGGGGCTGCTGCCTCGTACTGGGGCTGCTGCCTCGTACTGGGGCTGCTGCCTCGTACTGGGGCTGCTGCCTTGTGCTGGGGCTGCTGAGTCGAGCTTCTGTTCGGTCGTGGTGCTGCTACTGGGGCTGCTGCTTCGTACTGGTGCTGCTGCCTCGTATTGGGGCTGCTGAGTCGAGCTTCTGTTCGGTCGTGGTGCTGCTACTGGGGCTGCTGCTTCGTACTGGTGCTGCTGCCTCGTATTGGGGCTGCTGAGTCGGGCTTCTGTTCGGTCGAGGTGCTGCTATTGGGGCTGTTGCCTCGTGCTGGAGCTGCTGAGTCGGGCTTCTGTTCGGTCGTGGTGCTGCTGCTGGCCTTGCTGCCTCTGCTGCTGTTGCTGCTGCTGCTGCCCGCGCCCTCATCCGCCAACAGGTCCTGACGGTGCAGGATGTTAAGGGAGATTGACGGCGATTGTGAAGGAGATAGACGGTGGTGGTGATGGTGAGAATGGTTTACGGTGATGGTGTCAGAGATTGACGGTGGTGGTATACGACAGTGGAGACGGCCAAGGACGCCGATATAGTGCTAGTAGTGTTGATGGTGAGAGATGATACTGGTGTTGACTGTGGATGATTGTGACAGACGCCTGTGGAGATAAGACTCTCAGTAAGCGTATCAAAAGACAATCAACATTCGCAATTGTTCTATGAATGTTCTGCAGAATATGAAAACACTTACCTCTGAGGCTCTAAACACGGGAACCGAGGGAAGCAGCCGTGAAGTTAAGATTTCTGATTGTTAGTGGATGGGAATGGTCCTTGGGGAGGTGTGTTTGGGAGTTCTCCATCCCAAAGAGAAAACTCATGTCCCTATAGCTTTCAAGGTCAACAGCCAGAACATTGAAACGTGTGGGCAGCACAAATACCTTGGAGTTGGTATTAACAGTGACATTGTAAATGATCTACACCGTAGGTTAAAAGAAAGACTAAAACCATTGAGAACACTTACTGGTAAGAATATTGGTATCAATATTAAATATGCTAGACTATTCTATATGATGTTTGTTAGATCTCTCGTTGATTATAATGCTCTGCACTTAATTAATTTCCCCTCCTCTGTGTTGGACAAACTTGAAGTAATACAGAACGAGGCCATGAGGATAATTCTTGGTGCCCCAAGATGCACAAGAATCATCAACATGAGGGAAGAACTGAAGTTTCCAACCATACTAGAGAGAATAATGCAAGTTAACACTACCTTCTGTCTTAAAGTCATGAGAGATCCTACATCTCCTGCATTGCTCAGAGACAAATTATTTAGTGCTGTTAACACCCTTTTGACTGGTGCCGACATACCAACTCACTCCTTTTATGATAATTGGCTGAGAAACAATGCTTACAATCTCATTAAACTTAACATTCCTTTTAAGTGCAATCTACCAGTCTCTGATATTCCTCTTTATCTGTACCCCACCATTCAAGTATCATACACACCTGTCACCAAGAAAGATAATGAGAATCTTGCTCTACTCAAAGCTGTCACTCTTGAAACAATTGCCTCCTCCATCGAGAGTCTAAGATCTCACGAGCACTGTGTCTACACCGACGGCTCAGTCCAGTCTTCTACTGGACGGACTGCAGCGGCATGTAGGTTTTATAGAAATAATATCTGCACAAAGTCTGTCAGTGTCAGGTTAAACAACTGGCTGACCTCCACACAAGCAGAACTAGCAGCATTACATTTAGCAACCAGCACATTAAAAAATATTGGAGGAGGAATAATATTCTGCGATTCAAAGTCTGCTCTTCAAGCAATCGAAAACTTCTCTTGGAAGATCGACAGCAAGAACCTAATACTCCCAATTATAAATGACCTAATTGATGCACAGAGTAAAGGGTCTCGAATCTCCTTTGTATGGATACCTTCACACATAAATATAACCCATCATAATGAGACAGACATTGCAGCCAAATTAGCGTGTAACAAGTTTGAAGTTGAATTAGATCTAGGTATCCCCATCTCTGCTGTCAAAACTGTATTGGTCCAAACATTCAGATCTGATAGGAAAGAACTTACTGACTCCCAACGACCTGAAAGTACTAGTATAAAAAGCTATGATTTGTTCAGATCTGAAACCTACATCTATGGACAGCACAAAACGTCCACTAGACTGTGCGACACAGTGGTTGCAAGGATCAGGTTGGGTTACCGTTACCTGTGGCAGGTGGCTGCAGGTGACGGGTCTCCCAATCCTGAGCACTCCAGTTGCAAACTCTGTGAGCAGGAACTACGGCATGATCTCCCGCACTACATCACTGAATGCCCAGTTATTAGACCTTTCAGACCAGTTGGCATGAGGTACCTGGAGCTTTGCAATTACTTTATTCACTCTCGTATTCTTGAAGATATCCTCACAGTATACCCAAAATTTGCCAGTGCAGGCTATTAAACACATGGCTCTGTATGACTAACCATCCTGCGAGATGGGGACTTGTATTACCACTGCTACCTTATTCAATCTTGTGTTGTTGATATCCTCAAAATGCATCCGGAGTCTGCCAGTGCAGACCGCTTATCACATGTCTCTGTATGACTAACCATCCTGTGTGATGGGGATTTTATAGCATCACCTAGTTAGCTTTTTTTTGACACACTGTACTCCACTTCATATAGTCTAGGGTAGCTGCACTAATGCAGATGTACCTAATATGTTAATAAAAAAAAAAAAATTCTAATGTTTGTTAGATCTCTCGTTGATTATAATGCTCTGCACTTAATTAATTTCCCCTCCTCTGTGTTGGACAAACTTGAAGCGAGGCCATGAGGATAATTCTTGGTGCCCCAAGATGCACAAGAATCATCAACATGAGGGAAGAACTGAAGCTTCCAACCATACTAGAGAGAATAATGCAAGTTAACACTACCTTTTGCCTTAAAGTCATGAGAGATCCTACATCTCCTGCATTGCTCAGAGACAAATTATTTAGTGCTGTTAACACCCTTTTGACTGGTGCCGACATACCAACTCACTCCTTTTATGATAATTGGCTGAGAAACAATGCTTACAATCTCATTAAACTTAACATTCCTTTTAAGTGCAATCTACCTGTCTCTGATATTCCTCTTTATCTGTACCCCACCATTCAAGTATCATACACACCTGTCACCAAGAAAGATAATGAGAATCTTGCTCTACTCAAAGCTGTCACTCTTGAAACAATTGCCTCCTCCATCGAGAGTCTAAGATCTCACGAGCACTGTGTCTACACCGACGGCTCAGTCCAGTCTTCTACTGGACGGACTGCAGCGGCATGTAGGTTTTATAGAAATAATATTTGCACAAAGTCTGTCAGTGTCAGGTTAAACAACTGGCTGACCTCCACACAAGCAGAACTAGCAGCATTACATTTAGCAACCAGCACATTAAAAAACATTGGAGGAGGAATAATATTCTGCGATTCAAAGTCTGCTCTTCAAGCAATCGAAAACTTCTCTTGGAAGATCGACAGCAAGAACCTCATACTCCCAATTATAAATGACCTAATTGATGCACAGAGTAAAGGGTCTCGAATCTTCCTTTGTATGGATACCTTCACACATAAATATAACCCATCATAATGAGACAGACATTGCAGCCAAATTAGCGTGTAACAAGTTTGAAGTTGAATTAGATCTAGGTATCCCCATCTCTGCTGTCAAAACTGTATTGGTCCAAACATTCAGATCTGATAGGAAAGAACTTACTGACTCCCAACGACCTGAAAGTACTAGTATAAAAAGCTATGATTTGTTCAGATCTGAAACCTACATCTATGGACAGCACAAAACGTCCACTAGACTGTGCGACACAGTGGTTGCAAGGATCAGGTTGGGTTACCGTTACCTGTGGCAGGTGGCTGCAGGTGACGGGTCTCCCAATCCTGAGCACTCCAGTTGCAAACTCTGTGAGCAGGAACTACGGCATGATCTCCCGCACTACATCACTGAATGCCCAGTTATTAGACCTTTCAGACCAGTTGGCATGAGGTACCTGGAGCTTTGCAATTACTTTATTCACTCTCGTATTCTTGAAGATATCCTCACAGTATACCCAAAATTTGCCAGTGCAGGCTATTAAACACATGGCTCTGTATGACTAACCATCCTGCGAGATGGGGACTTGTATTACCACTGCTACCTTATTCAATCTTGTGTTGTTGATATCCTCAAAATGCATCCGGAGTCTGCCAGTGCAGACTGCTTATCACATGCCTCTGTATGACTAACCATCCTGTGTGATGGGGATTTCTTAGCATCACCTAGTTAGCTTTTTTGACACACTGTACTCCACTTCATATAGTCTAGGGTAGCTGCACTAATGCAGATGTACCTAATATGTTAATAAAAAAAAAAAAGTAACTCATTCTAATGTGTAGTGACTGTGGATGCGAAGAGGCCTTTTCGGTCAAGTGTAAGATGTCTACGTTTTTATAAGTACTTTTATTGATATTTCTCTCTTCGCAAACTTTTTACGACAAGTATGTCTGCGAGATTTAGTTAAAAAAAAAAGACCCAGTAAATCGAAAACAAATTAAATTTCCCTTTTAATCTGTTTCCTTGCAGAATCTTTCGTTTATTCCACCCATGTCATCTTACTACATTCCTTATTGAATTCAGTTAACCTGCTTTACCATGTAGTATGAGAACGCACATTGGGAGATATGGGGTTTCGTTTCTGGGTTTGAAACCTATTAAAAAGGAAGAAGGACATAAGACAAGGATGGAGGGACGAAGGGAAGGATAAAAAGGGAAGAACTGGATATAGTAGGAGTGAAAAAGGTGATTGGTTAAAAAATATAGTGTCGAGGGAGCGAGTCGTAGTGAATGCAAAAATCAGGATATTTTTTAGAAATATTGAGTCATATGAGGGAGCTGGTGATTGGTTGATACATAATGTCACGAATTGGTCTCATGTCAACCTGAAGCAGGTGATAATGTTACTCAACACCTTTCAGGTTATTTAATAAGGAACAATGTTAAATTTTGGCTCAGCTTACACACGAAGACAATTTTCATCTATAAAATACATGTGTTGCAGCCTTTTTAGTGAACAGAACACAAACAATTTAGAGAAATACTAAGCTCGGAGTAAACTTTGTTGATAAACATTTTTCCATTAAGTGCTTTATTGAATTAGATTTCATGAAGCTCTTTCATGCGTTTTTTTTTCCAAATAAGATTTTCTTTCAGCCAATAAACTGTGGTAAAGACCAAAAGAATCCTTCAGAAAAAAATGGGAACCAGAGATGGAGATTTTTTTTTGTATTTTTGGGCAATATGTAAAGCATTTTAAACATGGGATAAGAAACTAATATTTTATTCTAGTTCGTTTTCTACAGCTTTCGTCCGTTTTATACTACCACCTTCCGTTTTCTACCGGCACCCTCCATTTTCTACTGCCAGCCCCTGTCTTCTTCCGTTACTTCTCATTTTCTGTTGCCACTCCCTTATTTTCTGCTGCCACTTTCCCGTTTTCTGCCACTATTCTCCGCTTATCTCTCACCCCCCTCCCCTCCACCCTCCGGTTTTCACCTCTCCTCCACCCGTTTTATTTCACCCAAACCACGTTTTCTGTCACCACATCCCTATTTTCTTTCATCCCAACCCCCAATCTTTGCATCATCCGGATTTTCTGCCACCTCAACTCCGTTTTCTGCCACCCTAACCTCGTTTTCTGTCACTCGTCCCCGTTTCCTGCCACTGACGTCGTCGTCCAAGACGTAGCCCGGGTCGTGCGTTCGTCGCGACGAGGACGTGA